GATGGGCCAAGTGCTTAGACTACTGCTCCCACAGGGTCTGGCCAAACCCCAGCCACCGAGGCCATTTGGGGAGTAAACCAGCAGATGGAAAACCTTTGTCTCTCCCTTTCTCTAATTGTACCTTTCAAATAAATAAACCAGTCTTTCAAAAAAAAATTCTTGGGTTCTAATTTTGCTTTATTTTCGATTCCAGCTTCTTGCTAATGCACATCCTGGGAGACAGCAAGTGGATGGCTCACATGCTTGGCTCAGTGCCATGCCTATGGGAGACCAGGATAGAGAATCCATAGTCCGGCTTGATCCAGCTGCTATGGGAATTTGGAGAGTGAACCGGTAAGAGCTCTCTCTTTCTCTGCTTCTCTTCTCTCTCTTTCAAATAAGTAAATTAAAAAAAAAAAGATTATTATTTTACTAGAAAGTTAGAATTACAGAGAGGGAGAAGCACAGAGAGATCTTCCATTTGCTAGCTTACTCCCACATTAGTCACTATGACCAGTCTGGCTGCTCTGAAGCTGGGAGCCAGGGGCTCCTTCTGGGTTTCCAGCATGGCTACAAGGGCCCAAGAACTCGCGACATCCTTTGCTGCTTTTCCAGGGCTTTAGCAAGGAGCTGGTTGAGAAGCAGAGTAGCTGGGACTCAAACTCGTGCCCATATGAGATGCCAGCACCACACATTAGTTCACTATGTTGCCATACCGGCGTCAAATAAGTAAACTTTAAAAAAAATAAAAAATAAATGTATGGCTTACTGTAGCCAAACTAACTCCCATGGTTTCCCTGACAACATGCTTTCCCTCTTCTCAGGTCTATGCGCAAGCTGCTCATTCCACGTGATCCGTCACGCATCATTCTACCATATCCTTCCATCACTAATATCCTTGATCCCAGCTGATTTCATCCTTAATCCACTTAAAAATCATTTCCGTAAGGAGACACCTTCCTCAGCATCCCATTATGTATTTCACCGGATCCGTTAAACACATGATTTTCCTCTAGCCAATCTTCTTCTTGTGTATTTATATCTGAAATAAACTAGCTTGATCATTTTTACAACTTCTGTTACTTGTTTTAACTACAACTGCACAGAGTTTAAGTTCCAAAGCAACAAAAGTGATGTGTATCAAACCATTTCAAAAGTTTAGCATTGTCTTACATATGATGGGAAACAGGAAATGCATCCTTTCTTAAATTACTTTTGGGTACATTGAGAGGATTAAGAATGAAAATAGCATATGTATTTTATATTGCTTTATATATTTTATATAAAACTTAACATAGAGCTTATATATTTTCACAAAAGTCAGTTTTAAAATAATGGTCACTCTGTAAGCCAGATGACAAGATAAAGCCCTGGGTCTTTAACTGCTGATTTGATTTCAACAGTCTTTTAATCATTTCTCCAGAAAGAATTGCTGCTGACAAAGGAAATCATCCCAGAGAGAAAATGCTCAGGGCGATTCTACAATCATGGCTAGTGTATTTCTATAAAATAATTTCAGGAAATCTGTGGTGCAAACAAATTCCAAAGATTGAGATGGTTATTATTTAATGACTGTATCTTAAATTGAACACATGTCAAATCCCCATGACATTTGCTGATGCTGCCTCACTCATGTAGGAATTTAGAAGTAAATGCATTAGTGATGTTCACTTTATCTTTCCAGATTACCAATGGACATTATTCCATGGAGTGGTTTTGTTTCTGCAACGTGCAGAGGGTTTCTGTTATACCGAGTCTTATTCGAAATACTTTAGCTTAGTTTCTTATTTTTGCAAACCCACAGTCAAGACATCCTAAATAAGGAGCCATTAGTAATATAAATAAGTACCTTTACCTGGTCTCACTTGCTAGTAGCTGTTTGGTAATTGGCTTTTCTCGAAGAAGAAGGATTTAGGGAATGGGTTTTGTGGCACAGCGTTAAGTCACTGCTTGGGACACCCATTTGCTATACTAAAGTCCTGAAATTAGAGACCCCCGGCTCTGCTTCTGATTCCTGCTTCTCTCTGGGGTGCACCCTGGAAGGCAGCACATGATGCTTCAATAGCTTGAGTCTCTGCCAGCCCTTTGAAAGATCTTGACTGTGCTCCTGGCCCCTGGCTTTGCCTGGTCCAGCCTGGCTGTCTCAGGCTTGCAGTGAGTGAACCAGCGGATGGAACAGCTCACTCTAGCTTTCCAAAATGAATGCATGAATTTATTTGAGAAAGAGAAGGTCTTGCAGAAGATAGTGTTACCACAGGCAAATAGTCCCGTGAAAATGTGCTCATTCATGCCAAATCCCAGGCAACCCCAAGGTTATTTTGTACCTTTATAAGTAGAAACAGAAAGAACACAGTCTAGAAACTACCGAAACTTCACTTTTTACTCCTTAAAAACGACAACAGCAACAACGAAAGGAAAGTATCTAATCTACATTATTTATAATTACATGATAAATGGAGAATCATTATGTTGTGAAATAAGGCATCAAGGCCTAAACGCTTCCTAAAGGAGGTAGGTAGTGGGTATTGAATTGTTGTCTAAACTAGTGGAACATAGATGGTCCGTCTGGAAGGCCTTGTACAATCAAGAGTCTCTCTTTCCAAGCCCTGTCAGTTGGTACAAAAATGTCACAGATCTACAGATATGAATGAGATAAGCATATCCAGTATATGATAAGCACTCAATAAAGTGTGATCGCTAAGATAACAGCAAAGAGGGGGCGGCGCACTGTGACACAGCGGGTTCAGCTGCTACCTGTGACACCAGCATCTCATATCGGACCCTGGTTTGAATCCTAGCCACTCTGTTTCTAATCCAGTGTCCTACTAACCAGCTTGGGAATATAGTGGAGGATGGTCCAAATATTTGGATCACTGCCCTCAGTATAGGTGGGCCCACGTAGAATTCCTGGCACCTGGATTCTGCCTGGCCCAGAGCAGCTGGTTCAGGCATTTGGGGAGTGAAGCAGCAGATGGAAGATCTATGTTTCCAACTCTTGTTTTCTATCATTTTGCCTTTCAAATAAATTAATATTTTAAAGAAACCGAGAAATTATGCATCACACCATCTTTGCTGATGTTTCTTTGCTTAATGAGTGACACAGAATCCTTGGATAAAAGAATGTAGTGTAAATAAACAATTTTCAATAGCTATATAATTATTTACATGATTGACATGAAGAAGTTTTCAACAGCAATGATATCTGACTGGGTGTCCATGGCTGTGAAACTCAGGACGTGTATATGTGTGTATGCAGATGGCGTGGTTTTCTTACAGAGAAATGAAAAATATCTTATTGTGGGAAATGAGAACTAACACTCTAGGCAGCGATGTCATGCCCCTGTGCTGGGTCCTCTCCAGGTCAGGACGATCTGGTTGTAACTGAAGGAAAGAGAAACAAGGAGCCAAAGCACGTTACCTGGGTCAGATTTCATCCTGCATCCTGCGTGGGAAGGGTGGAGAAAGGAACTGAAAGCGCGCCTTTTTCCTGGCGAGCCGTGTAGCCCACCTCTGCTGTGCTCACTCCCGAGTCCCCACGTGTGATAATTTGTCAGTTTCAAACCAATTCTCTTAACAAAAATGCACAGGCTCCCTTTACTGTTTTTTTTTTTTTTATCACATTGATGAACATACTGTTGAGGAGGGGGTTCCCTGAATATTATGCAATGGCTAAGAAAACCACCAAGCTGTTAATGAAGTAAATATCTGTTTAATTTATAGACATCAGTAGTGTAACTGATATGAGTCGGGAGGAAGACAATGCACGCCGAATCATACATGTACACCTAATTTTCTTTGTTAAAAAAAAAAAAACAAACAAACCAGAAAGAAAAGGTTTTTGGAAGCATGTGCACCTTGACAGGGCACTCCGGGATCTTAACGAGGGAAGAGCATGGTTCACTATAAATCACCATCAATTCTACATTGTAAATTAGCAGCAAACATGTTGCCATGGGGACACTGATGTTCTAAAGGAATTTTATTGTTTGGAAGTAATTACAGTTCTTGACATGCCAATCTATGTTTTTTTTTTTTTGGTCTGCTCCAACCCTCAGTGAAAGGGCACGAGGGGTCTAGGGAAGGTTGATTTGTCAGAGATCTCCTTTCTAGTGTTGACTGCTATGCTTCAGTTCTTTCCCGTGAGGCCCTGCTGCAGGAGGGCCGCTTCCTTCTCTGCAGTGGCCCTTGCCCTCTGGAGGTGCCTGCTCTCCGAACGTGTCCCATCTGAGGCTAGCAGGTCAGGGCTGCCAGTGGTCAGACGTCCAGGTAAACACACAGACCGACACACAGTTCTCCTCAGGTAACACACTATGTTAATTCTATTGCCGACAAATAAAACAAAATCCTGATTTTTTTTTTAAGTTTGAAAAATGTACAAAAATATCAGGACAATTATAAATTAATATATATTAAAGCATCAAGAAACAGCAAAAGGATGGCCTAAGACGTTAAGTACAATGTACTTTGATACAATAAATATTCCTTAATGAAATTGAATACTGTATAGGGCTGTTCAGAACTCATAGAAACAAAAAATTCATATTATTACTAATTTATTTATCAATAATCTATTGTTTCTTTATCATCTTCTTTATCATTTATATTACAAAAAATTAATACTGGAAAATGGTAGATAAACACTTGCATGTGCTGCTTCTGAAGACAGGATGATATTTAAAAAGAAAATAAACTGTGTTTTAGCCCTCCATTCCTATTTGCTTTCTTGAAGGGAACTTAGATCTTCAGAGCAATTGGTGATTTGCACAAAATAGTTCTCATCCTTGATTCCATGAATTCTAGAGTTCCTACCCGCGCTTGGCACCCCTATGCACACGCGTGTGCCTGCGACGGGGGCATCCTGTGAACGAGGGGACACAGGTGTTCTGTCTGGGCGATTTTGCATCAGTGCACAGCCTGGCTCCCGCCGCTTGCGTCTGTGCTTTGGGGAGTCCCTAGCACGTGGCGGGCAGGATCCCTGTGGCCATGCGTGGCCCTCTTGTTCGAACGCAGCCGTCCACAGCTTTCTTCACACTTCTCCAGCACAGGGGAAGCTTTAGTTCAAGTACGTCTTATATTGTGTTTTTTTTTTTTTTCAAAGGCAGGAAAAAAAAGGTCTTTATTCTCATAATAAAAATAAGTCTGTTTTGTATCTTACAATATATTTCAAATATTTCCACTATGAGGCATGAGTGAGTCCAACATGGCCAAAAAAGTATACAACCTTTGCCGGAGGCAAAGCCGCCCGGGTGCCATTAGGACGCACACCTCGCGCAGCCGCACTTGACCACCTTCTCCAGCTCTTCCACAAAGGAGGAGCCGTCCGTGCATTCGAAAGAGTATTTCCTCCTCTTGCTCCGCAGGGGCGCGCAGCACTGTCCCCCAGCGCAGCCGCCCTTGCACTCCAGACGTGACACCTTCTTGGTCGTCTGGCAGGCCGCGTAGCCCCGCTGTCTCTGGTAGTAATCCCGCACACGCTCCCCTCGACAGGAGATTTCTAGAATAGAACAAGCAGCCGTAGTTGAAGGACAGTCGCCAGCAGGCTCTCTCGGATTCCCCTGTGCAAATACTGTTGTTGGTGTATGTGCGTAATTCACATGATCGCCTGGTGGCACTGCCTCATCTTTGAAAAGCTTTTTCTTTTGCTCTTATTTTCAGTAAAGCAAGCACTATATATACAGACTATAAATACAACACTGTTGCAATGACAAGAAAATTGGATTCCTAAATCTATTGCTTTATTGAAAAAAAAAGAGGGAAAAAAAATACACATCTTGGGTTTTTACACTAGTAACAGCTGGTTTTGTTTACCAGAGGGAGCAGTTTCAGAGAGTATGCAATTTAATTTATTAGGCCCGGAGTTTAATATTATCCAATCTGTTACTTAATACAAGTAACATTCCACTAACTTCATAAATTACCCTAGGATGAAGTAGTTAAAAAAAAAGAGAGACATCTGCTAAACGCTTCCATGGGCACGTTCCTCTTGTCTCATCCTCTGATACACAAAACAAAACCCATGGCAGCTGGAGGGAAGGCAGGTTCCGATTGGACAGACAAAGGAGAGAGGTGGAGGGGGGCTCCGAACCCAGAGCACGTCCACCCCTCTCACCTGCGCAAAACGCTGCGATCAGCCAGCACATGCTAAGGTCAGCGGTGAGTCTGTTCAGGAGCCCAGCAGAATTTGCAGCTCCATCTTCACAGTGCCAGATGACCAATTATTAAAACACACAGGGAGGTGCACAGCCTGGTAAGCTAAGAGTAAAGTAGGTGAGCTCCTATGTAAGATAAACAGGAGAATCTTCAGGTCCAATCCAGCTGTGAGAAGGCATCTGGATCCTGTAAAACCTTGTGCTGGAGGGGTGGGACGATTCACATTGGTGCATTCAGAAGCCTCGGCTATAAATCCACAGCAGCCGCACAAAGACCTGGTGTCCTCCCAACCGCTTTCTCTCCTTCTTCCTGTCTGTTTCACTCTCCATGTAGCTTTCTTTCTATCTCTCTCAGGCTCGCCTCCTTAATTCTGCTCCCACCCTTGCAGGTTTGCCTCCATCACCCCCCTCTCCGTGTCTGTCTTCCGAGACGTGGCTTTGTGAGGAGCGGGAGGTGCCGCTGGGCTGGCTTACCTCGATCGCAGCTGTCGCCAGTATAGCCGCTGCTGCATTCACAGTAGGGCTGGCCGAGTCCGGAGAGCCTGCACTTCCCGTGCTTACATTTGATGGCCTGGCATGGGTTAAAAAGATCTTCTTCCTCATCACAGAGGACACCTCCGTGGCCCTCCAGGCATTTGCAACTATAGGAGAACGCATTGATGGGCAAGCAGGTACCATGCACACATCTGTAGGGACAGATGCAATCAGCAAAGAGAAGTAAGAATGTATGGAGGCAACGAGTCTCCTGCGGACTGCTCTCCTTTCTCGGAACTCGCTTTGCATACAGAACATGTGAACTATCCACAGAGTTGAACTTACTTGTTTCTAATACAAGGATCATTGGTCTGCTGGTCACAGAGGGGTCCCATCCATCCTTCCTCACACTCGCAGGTGAAGCCAGAGTGACTGCTGGGCCGGCACACGCCATGGGCACACACCTTCTTGTGGCATGGCTCACAGCCGGGCAGGATGCCTGTTTGCATGGGCACTTTTCGGAAGTCCTGCAGTTCACTGTTGATGTAAAGGTTCCGGATGCAGCCGTGGAAGCTGGTCCCATTCTGGCCAGGGGCCTGGCGCAGGGATGCCACATTGCTTTTCCCGGGTATTCCTGGGGAAGCATACCACATGGGAGGTCAGGTTCTTTGTGCGCTTCTCAGGCATTTGTCATCAAAAAATGTTAATACTTGACACCTCACCCTAGATCAATGGAATCGAGATACATGGGCAAGGTAAGGCGTGCAATGTGTATTCTGAAATATGAAGTTCTGGTGCATAAACAGAATAAATGATTGCTGGAGGTCAGCTGTAAACCAAACTTCACTCAGATACATCTGTGCAGAAAACCTAGCAGCAAAAGCACTGCAGCAAAAGGTTAAGTTGGGGGATGGATCAGCACTTTCTCTCCCTAAGCACTGCTCCAGATACTAGGCCAGAAGCAGCATGCAGTCTGTGATGCTGGAGTCAGGGTCCAGAGCTGGAGCGATGTGTGTAATGTCACTCGGAATGCTCAGGTCCACGTTCTGCTCAAGAGAAGAATTCTCTCTGCCTAGAGTTAGGGCTCTGTCCATCAAGTTTCAGAGAGGGAGAGCATGGGTTCACAGTCACCATTTACCTTGGGACTGCAAAGTTCTAAGTCAGAGGCTAGTCCAGCTCACCACGTGTGACTTGGCTCAATGGGATATCAGCAATGGAAACACTCATCCTTGATTCTTATCAGGGCATCTCTTCCTTGGCATCACACTTCCCCTTGTTAATCGAGAGCGAGGGCCTCGTATTTTAAGAATTTGGGAACAGAGAAGAAATTCCTTAACCTAGCATTTGCAATCTTTGTATACAGACATACCACTACTGAAAATCATTTGGTAATCTTCATTTTGGCAAAAGTGAGGAATCTTTCCACTGCCCAAGCCAGATCCTGAAATAGCTCCTGGACAGCATCCTACATGAGGCAGTGGTCCAGGTCACTGCGGGGTAGGGGAGGGGCTGGAGGCCTTCAGAGCAGCTTTCCGTCCACATGCAGCTCGTGCCCCTGTCGGGCCTGGACTATGAGCCAGCGGCTGGAGGTTCCACCTCGGCTTTCGCTCTCCAGAAGGGCTGATGTTTATAAAACACAAGAATCACAACACTTTGCCTTGTGACTGTCCACTTTTAAATTCATAAGATTCCCATTTGAGTCTTTGAAGGCACCAAGGTCAAGCTGCAGGGTGGGCAAAAACACTACATGGAAGTTGAGTCTTTATTTTTGGTTCTGCATGTACTTGGCCAGGCACTTGCCCCCTCTGGGGCTTAGTTTTCTCACTTGCGGCAGGGTCGCCAGAGCTATTGCTTCCAAGCTGTTGACACAGAAATCATCAAAGGCACATGATTGCATCCTCAGCGTCTGGGCCTATAGCAATGGCTCAAGCACAGAAAGCTCCATGTTGACATGCAGCTCAGTAACTCTGATGCAGGCGGTCTGTGGGGACACGTGCACAGACAGCAACGGAACTATTGCTGTTTGAACATCTCATGAGTATGGGCTTACACCTTCTGACCTTGGAAATCGGCTTGCTTTGTAAGGACAAGGTCAACAGGAAGACACTGGCCATTCTCAGGACAGGACTAGATTGGAAATTACTAGCTGTAGGGCAACTCCTCCTAACAATTATATTTATCCTTCATAATCACATGGGCTTTAACGCCAGATTTACAGCACTTTATTCAGAGGGAAACACTGTCTCCCCAGACCATATTTAATAGTTCGTTATGATGGTGATACGATGCTCTTAAGTGAGCATGTCAAGACACAACATTGAGTGGTGAAGTTCCAAGTAATAACAAATTAAATGATAAATAAATTTCTTTTAGTTCCAAAACTAACAATTAGGCAAGAACTAGCATTGATTATGGTCAGTTGTCGGTGAAAATATTCAAACTTCCCATATATATTTGACTTTCTTTTCTTAAAAAAAGATTTATTTTTATTGCAAAGTCAAATATACAGAGAGAGGAGAAGAGACAGAGAGGAAGATCTTCCATCTGATGATTTACTCCCCACGTGACTGCAATGGCCAGAGCTGTGCCAATCCAAAGCCAGGAGCCATGAGCCTCTTCCAGGTCTCCCACGCAGGTGCAGGGTCCCAAGACTTTTTGGACCGTCCTCAACTGCTTTCCCAGGCCACAAGCAGGGAGCTGGATGGGAAGTGGAGCTGCTGGGATTAGGACCAGCACCCATATGGGATCCCAGAGCATTCAAGGTGAGGACTTTAGCCACTAGGCCACGCCGCCAGGCCCTATACTTGACTTTCAACAGGCTTTCACAAGATTGACACTTAGTCTGAATCTTCTCATGTGGGACTGGCAACTGCATTCTAATTGATGAGTTGCAAGTGGGTTATAACTTGTCTTTTAGGCCTTAGTTTATGTCAAAGACCTTACCTGGTTTTCAATCTATCCACAGATAATTCAGAAGAAAAAAATTAGCCTGAAGAAGTTCTACATGCTTTAAAATCATAATCAAGTATCATGATTGAGGTTCTGTGTCCAGTGGGGCACTGAGAGGTGTTGTGTGACACATGTGTGGACCTCTGGGTTTGTCCTGCCGTTCCCCAGGGGTAATAATTGTTCGAATTGGGCTGTTCTACAGAAAATCACGAAGAATGATCTGGTGGCACGTGAAGCCAGCACCACGGGCAGCTGCCAGCCTAGCAAGCGAGGTAAACCATGTTTCCACTTGGCCAGAGCACACTGGCTCTGGGAGACCTCAGGAACGGTGTTGCTCCAAAGGGAGGCTCCCTTCGCTAACTGCTTCTCATGCCCTTGCTACAGGGCAGGCAGCATTTGTATGTGCTTTGTTTAACCTGAATCACCACTGAGATTACATTCTGAGCTGGAAGGATGGGGCAAATGCGTTTTCTGGAAGTAAAGATGGGTCATTCCTGGATTCCTTCAGGCCCCAGTGGGCGGAGACTCTGTCTGGATTCTTCCACACTTTCCATCCTTATAAGGAATAATATTTTTCATTTTAGAGCTCAAAACATTTTTTCCCTTTCCTGAAAAATGTTTTGATTTACATAATCCTGTTTCATATTAATACTCCTTTTTGTACCATAGTACGATAAGGTTTTAAGAGATTTACTAAAATGGCTTCCAATGAAAGCATAGAAGTCAAATGAAGAACAGATTTAGCAATAGACAACACATAGTAACAAAACTAACAATTGTTTCACATTCAATTTTACATTACGAAGTGAGTGGTGATGCTGGTCACTTTGTAGTCAGACAAATCCGCAATTTCAGGAGGTATCTATCATGCAGTGACCTTGTGAACTGGGGCAAGTGATATAAAGTATTTGAGGCTGTGCCACAGGGGCATTGGAACAAAATAATATCTACTTCTCAAGGTCTCTGAGAATAAGACTAAAAGAAGCAGTGTGCTGAGCACATAGCAAATGTTTAATAATTTATAATTTACTTCTTCCACTGAAATCACAGGTGCATGTACAACCTTCTGCACATATTCCCAAGGAACTCTGTCAACAGGAATGTAAGCAAGATTGGAAAGCTTTCGCTTTTTTTTAATTTTTAAATTTGTTTTTATAGAAAAGGCAGATTTACAGAGAAGGAGAGACAAAGAGAAAGATTTTCCATCCACTGATTCACTCCCCAGGTGGCCGCAACAGTTGAAGCTAGCCCATCCAAAGTCAGGACCCAGGAACTTCCTCTGAGTCTCCCACATAGGTGTTGGGGCCCAAGGCTTTGGACTATCCTCGACTGCTTTCCCAGGCCAGAAGCAGGGAGCTGGATGGGAAGTGGGGTCGTTGAGATATGAACTGGTGTCCATATGGGATCTCCTTGCATGCAAGGCAAAAATTTAGCCACAATGCCATTGCACCAGGCCTAGCTTTTGCTTTTTATTTATTTTTTTACTGAGTCTCATAATGCATTATCATCAAGCAACTGGATCTGTCTTCTTGCTGAGTAGGCTCACTGTGTAATACCCTAATTACAATGCATTGAGTTACCTGAAGATGGATCTGCATTTCTTATTTCCCTGGGAATAAGACACACTGCTTTTCCAACCCTGTGTGTCCTTTTCCAACCCTTTGTGTGTCCTTTAATTCCCTTCATGTCTTAGCTGCTCAGTATGATGAAATGATCAAACCAAAGCCATTGAACTGTTTCTAAAGATTGAAACTCATCAAAGTATTATGATTTTGATAACCACATTGACTGGCAATATGGCACAGTGGGCTCACTCCTACCCATGGTGTCCATGTCCAATATTGAAGTTCTACTTCAAAGTTCTACTGCTTCTCTTCTGTTCCAGCTCCCTGCTAATGTGCCTGGGAAAGGAACAGACCATGTGTCTCAATTCAACACTACTAGTTTTTGTTCCCAGATTTTCCAATGTCATCTCTATTTAGAGGAAAGAGTAGGAGTATTCATGTAGTGGACCCCCAAATTTGTGTTCCATGTTTAGGTCCCTCTGTCCCTCATCTGCTTTCTTCCTGTTTAGAAATTAAGCTGGGAGTCTTCACATTGCTATATTAAGTCTAATCTACCTTTCCAAGTCTATTTTTTTTTTTAAATTTTAAGGTCTTAGCTAAACAAAACTACTTTGTGCTACCCCAATACAACTGGTACATTTCATTTGTTCATTCTTTTATCAAATTTTATGGATGGCTGTTCTGATATCTGCATGAATGAGCAAGAGGTAATGCAGAAATGCCAGTATGGTATCATCTGAGCAGGTTGGGCTGACCTCCTTGGGGAGCGGAATTGGCTCGCTCACTTCTCAGCTTGCGTTGACCTTGTTTTATCATTGTCTTCATTGTTTAAACAAATCCCTTTTCCTAAAGACCATGTCAACGATAAGAATGAAGGACAGGAGACGTAAACGACCCGGAATATGACAGACACAAAAGCAATACTGGTTGATATCTTCCACCCCCCCAATGTGAGTTGGAGCCACAATCCTGGGGCCCTGACAGCTATGCATAGGGCTCTTTGGTAACTGCTCACCACAGCACCAGGGGTCATAATCTCAGAATTCCTCTAGGCTGGCCTTCACAGGCTGTGGAGACCCTTGGGAAGAGGGCTTACCTCCTACGTAGAGTGGGGAGTCAAAATTCAGAGTGGACTGCTTTGACAGGTTGGTGATGACTTTGGGGCTGCCCCCATCCACGGAGAGGGAGAGACTCTGATCCAGGGCAAGCAGCTCCACGATGTGGAAGTTCCCATCGTTGATCGTCTCCACACTGCAAGAGAAAACGCTCAGCTGGGCCTTGTGTTCCCTCTTCAGTCATGGACAGGAGTTCAAATATAAATCCTCTCTCACACTAAAGTAGATAATGAACATTGGTTGACTTTTTTAAAAAGGATATTTTCAAGGAAACACAATCGATTTAAACTTCCCAAAGACTGACTACTAAGCAAATTTGTTTTCCCACTGGGAGATACGGAAATCGGCGCATTTAATCATTATCTGGCCACATTCTCTCCAGGAGCAGAAATTATAAAGAATAATTTATACAACTGCCTTTAAATGTCACAAAGTTCCATTTTTGATATGCTGTTTGTTATTCCAAACAGCATTAGGAAGACAAGCAAGCTACTCCTATGCCAAATGTACTCCATAGACACTGATGTCAGGGAGAGCCGGCTTGTGCCCTAATGACGTTGTGCAATAGAACTTAGAAAAAAATACACAGAGATACAAGAACAACATGGTAGAGTCTTCTCACTTTTTTTTTAAAGAAGTTATTTATTTTTGAAAAGCAGACTGACAGAGGCAGAGAGGGGAAAGGGGTAGAGGGAAGGAAAGGGAATGTAAAGAGAGGGCAGGGAAAGGAAAAAGATTTTGGTTAAATCATCAACCAAATGGCTGCAACAGACTGGGCAAGGCCGCGAGGAAGCCAGGAGCTGACCATCTCTAGGAGTCCCATGCAGGTGGCAGGCATTCATTCACCTGAGCCATCATCTACATCTCAGGCATGTTCGCAGGGTGCTGGACCAGAAGCAGAGTGGCTGGGCTTTGAACTGGCACTGCTATATGTGTGTGTCCCAAGCAGTGGTTTAACCTTTTGTGCCACAACACTCATCCGTTGGTTTGTTTTTTGAAATTTGTTAATTGATGACATGAGGAGTCTTCAAAGTGCTCAAAGTATGCATCATGGAAAAAAGCTATGATGAAAGTTTTACACACATTTAATTCCAGGTTCTGTGGGCTTTCGGAAAGTCACTTGTATACTCAATTCCTCTGCTTTTCTCAGAAGAGTGCCTGACTTCATGATGCTACCATGCAGAAGCCTTTGCTAAGTCAAGGGGAGGAACGGCACACAGGAGAAGGTTCACAGTCGGGGATGGAGAGCAAAGAAGGACACGGAATCTGCAGTTTCTCTTCTATAACTTTAAGGGTCAGATCTAAACATGACCACTTCTGTCCTCTATTTTGAGAAAACAGACCTTCCTAAGATGGACAAGACTGAATAAAAAACTAAGGCAAAAGGAAAAGGAGGATCAACGAATAAAATTGGCTGCAGTTTAGGAAGTAAATGTTACATGGTTTAACAGGGAATTAGTAATCCTATCTCTAATACTGAAAACAGGCTAAAAAGAAATTAAGACAAAGGAAGCAAAGAGGCCCAAATGTGGAGTGTGGGGGCAGCAACACACTGTGACTGCACAGGCAGAAAGTGACATAAGGTAAGTTAAGGTCAAAACATAAATTACAGAAGTTAGATGTCTAGCAATCTGGCATATTGAGCAGAAAGGCTGAGGAAGGTTCAGAAACGGAAATATGGGAGCATACGAAATGTTTCCAGATGAGAATAGCTAACACTTCCTAAACAAGATGACTGCTTACATCATCATGTCCTGCTATTTAAATTTGCCAAAAGGGCAAGCCTGGAAAATAATAATAATTTTGTATTAACATTTCTGCATGATTCTTATCACTTGAATTTAATCACATTTTACCTTTTGCTGACAGAGTAGAAAATGTTATTTGATTTGGAAACAGTATGAAGGATTCTGAAATCATCTGAAAATATTTGAAGGTCACTTGTCTAAAGTGGTTAGAGGAATCCACATGTTTGTGAGTCTCTGACAGCCTTCCAACTTTTACCAAACACATGTTACAGTGCAGAGAGTAAGCTTCTGTCTGGGACACACACATCTCTCATAGGATCCCAGGTTCAGTTTACAACACTGCTTCTGATCCAATTTCTTTCTAATACACACAGCAGAGGCAAGAGATGAGGCAATTATTTGGGTCCCTAACAAGTATCCTGGGGCCCTGGATTGAGCCCTGAGCTCCTGGCTCAGCTCTGGTTGTTGTGAGGGATTCTCAGAGTGCAAGGATGGATGGAAAATCCCTCTCTGTGTCTCTGCCTCTTTCTATTTATTTGGCCTTCAATAACTGATGAGATCAAAAGTAAAAATGTTAGATGTGTCAATCAGCAATTCTCCCTTCTACATATGAATTATTTGAACATTTAAGGCTGTGAAAAATGGCAGAGGAAATGACCGACTTGACAATCACTTCGCTTACCAACTGTTATAACCTTGAATATAACCCTTCTAATGGATATGCTCAGTAGTAATATGAGCTAGTGGTTAAGCATATACATTTTGCTGTCAGATAAACTTGAATTTCCATTCAGACTGTGTTTATTAAGTATTGAATCATAGATAAATTGCTTAATTATTCATAAAATTCAACTTAATTTTTAGTAAATGCTAATAAATATTTCTCCTTTTACAGTTAATTTGAGATCTACATGAAATGAATTTTTAAAAAATGCACAGTATAGTTGATTTACATCTTAGATAGTGCTTGAAGGCCAGCACAGACATGAGTTTTTTGTGGCATGTCTTATTCAAACTAGTATAAGTTTTAAAGTGTTGAAGGGGCTGGCATTGTGACATAGCTGGTTCCATCAGCGCCTACAGCTCCAAGATCCAGGGAGCCCAGGTTTGAGTCTCTGCTGCTTCACTTCCAATCCAATTCTGGGTCAATGCTCCTGGGAAAGCAGCATAGGATGGCCCAAGCACTTGGGAAGAAGTTCTTGTGTTTAGCCAGGCCCAGCCCCAGCCTTAGCAGCCATATGGGGAGTAAACAAGTAGATGGAAGATTTCTCTGTCTCTCCTTCTCCCTCTCTCTGTAACTCCACTTTCTAAATAAATAAAATTCTTACAGAAATAATAAAGCATTGGAATAAATATATAGCAAGACAGGGTAGAAATTAATTAGTTTTTATCTTCTTTCTATTCATGTGCTCCTCTGTAAGTTATTCTGTATGATGATGATCTATGAGTGCTGGCTCTTATTGGATTATAAGGCCTGTGTGCATACTGAGCCATGGGTTCTTGATCACACGTAGTTCTCAGACGTCTCCATTGAGGCATGTCCCTGTCATTGAGGGTGATGGAGGTACAGCTGAGTGAGCTGAGACCTTTAGGGTTTTATACATCCTAGGTGACTGGTGCAGCTCAGACCAGAGAGGCAGTAGCTTTACCATCAGTTTGAATATTTACTGTTCATCGACTCTGAGCTCCTTTCCTGTTTCTTATTGAGTTCTTGCCTATAACTCTCACTGATCATCAGCAACTAAAAAGTCGGGGCAAATTTTTATTTCTATATTTTAATGTATCCAGTAAAGTGGCTGGTGAGGGTAGAAGTTTAGTGCATGTTAAAAAAACGCAAGGGGGATAGATTACAATTAGAATATATAGTTTGTTTCTTTGAGGAAACCCTCACAGGATGGGTTATTGTGATCTTTGGCTATTTTTTCTGTGGGCTATTTTCACCTCTCACCAGAGAAAAGCAAATGTTAAGAGCAAATAATTATGTAGTACATATTAAAGAAAAGTGTTGCTGTAAGAGCCTCACACATAATCTACTCTTAAGCCTCACAACACGGTGCTTAAGGTTGGGCACTTACTCAAAGTGATCCAGATAGCGGATAAACCAGATTTGAAGCCAAGTGCCGTAAGTTTATATTCTCTTATTTATTATATTCCATCTTTTCAGCAAAAATCAGAAGAGTGCCAAGAGGTGCATTCTCATCACCAATTAAGCCTCCAATAGGTGATATGTCTCCTAAACAGCCATTTATGAAGTTATTTTGCAAAGAAACTTCTGTTAACCACAAATTTGGCATAGTTATGAAAAATCATTGAATTATATAAAAAGATTGTAATGGGAAATTAAAGATTACACAAATGCATGTGAAGTATATGGATTTGAGAATGTACTCTGGATTTTATTTTAGTTGTTAGATTCAGACTAGCTTTTTTTTTTTCCTTCCCCAAAAGGTCTAAAGACTTAATGTATTCATTCCAGAATCTATCAGTGGTGATCTGAATTCTGTACAAATCTTCCTAGAATTAAGCAAGGTCTCACCTTGGCCTTTTAAGAGGTAAGACTTACATTTTTTCCTTTCAGAGATGATCTTGGGTGGATGAGGAGTGAAGAGACTCCACCAGAATTAAGAATAGTCTAGCCTGGTGTTACACACTATCTACCATGGCATGAGCTAAATTCAGACACATTTAAAACTCCTCTGTTTACATACACTTTTACAATAAAGCATGGATCGACCCTTTGAGAGCTGTCTGCTCTCACTGCCTTGGCTAACTTTCCAGTCTTCCAGAGTCATCTTCTCCAAAGCCTTGTTTAGCACAGCATCCTTTCAGATTTCCGTAAGTACCGATACACTCTTTCACAGTTCCCCAGAGAACTATACATTTGATGACTCACGAAAGTAGCACTTCACTTTGCACATTTCCATGGGGAACATAATTTGCATTTATTACCACTATTACGTAATTTTGTCTTAGGATACTAATTTATTACCTGAGATCTTGTTTCCTAACATTTTTAAACTGCAAATGGATGTGCAAAATAAACAAATAATTCAACTACGACTGTAGTTTGCTACAGAAATAAAAGTGCTTTGCAACTGGGAGTTTCTGAGCCAGACTAAAACGTCTGATTTTGCCATGCAATTCACATGAATTATTCTACTTTTATATTTCTATTTCTAATCATGAAGCATATCGGAAATTTAGTAAAGATTAACAGTTCATTCGTGCATATGCAAATTCTAGATTTCGGCCTTAAAACTAAAATATTCGGTGTCTTGTGACATATTCTGTATAATGGAAAGGGAATCAGGAAACAATTAAATCCAGCTACTTAGCTGTGGATAATTCGGGCTTGAAGATATTTCACCTGGCAATATATTCATCTATT